ATCGATGAGCTCGTGGAATCGCCTCAGATGTGACCGGGGGCACTCCCCCTCTTTGCCACGGAACACCACCGAACCGCGCAACATAGCGATGGCCGAGGTGCTCACCTCAAAGTTGTTGGCTGGTACATGAGGGTGGTGAATGGGGGACCTCATGTTCGCGGCTCTGGCGGTCCAGTAGTATCACATGGTCTGCTCCTCAGGAATGACCGCATCATTGTTCTCTGGGTCACCCATCTCTTCTTCGTTGGCGATTTGCAGCTGTGCAAGCGCCTCCTCCGCAGCCAGTCGCGCCTTTAGAGCCCGCTTGAAGTTCCTACAGATCCGTTCAAGCTCCTGGTCTAATGGTAGTAGTTCTCCCGACTGGCTACGGGTCATGCACTACCTGCACACAATCAGGAAAAGCAACCCGTGAAGGCACACATGTGGAAGAGAGAAAATGCAGTAAAGAAAATGCTAGAATAACAAACTTTCACGTTTCCCCAATAACCTAGAGGTTCCCCGACAACGGCGCCAAAAACTTGACACGCTAAAACGCAACACCAAACTGCGACCAAGTGTAATCGCAGTCCGGAAATGCAGTAACAGGCAAGCTCTAATGTCAACCCGGGGTCTAGATCTACTGGCTACTCTGTGAATATCTATTATCTAGCTAACTAAGTCAAGTGATTGTTGATTTAAGCAAAAGCAGTAAGAAAGCAGGAATTAGTTCGGTTTTCTGAAGCAAAGGAAGAGTCACTCGGGAATGAGTCCCCCTAGCTCCTTAGTTAGGTTCCAGTTGTAATTACTTTTGGTTGCTTTACTGCTGATTATACTGCGGAAGATCCGACAGTAGCTTGGAATCTCTTAACCTGACCAATCCCTCTCAGTCCAACTACCCGGCAGACGACTAGTCTTCACCGGGATAGAAAGCTGAGGCTATGAAAACAGAACTCCACTACTGGAATTAGATTCCAGTACAAAGCAATGAATCGACTAACTCTCATATAATCGATTCACTACTACCAATTGAAGAAGCTCTAACAACCTAATCAGATTCTATCTATCTCAGGTTGCAGCAGAAATAAATAAAAGGTGATCAGACTTCAATTGACTCATTCAAAACACTTCAATCGATTATAATCAAGCAATATCACAATCCAAACGTAATTACAATCAAGATTCCTAACACATGGAACTAGGGTTCTTCATACCCAAGTGAGAGAGAGTTCTACTCCATAGAGAGAGAGGAAAACAGAATACAAAGCATCCATACTCATAACAATGGGAAGAATCTGCTTTGGGATGTCAATCTTCACTCCTGGGGATGCAATCTGGGCTTCAATGGTGAGAAATCAACTCCAAATAGCTCCTACACCCAAAGATCATTCTCGTTATTCAGTAGCTGCCAGGCTAGCTTAATCATGTAGGCCATGTTTAAATTTCTAGTAGACCTAAGACCGATACCTCCTTGGTTTTTAGGTTTACAAATAGATTCCTAATTCACAAGGTGGACTTCTCTTCTCCCAGAAAAACTTCCCCACACGAACCCTCTAATCCTACCATCAATAGCATCACAAACTGATGCTGGGAGAACAGAGGTCTATATTGCATAGGAGGGGATATAATTCAGGACAGAAACTACAAGAGTGGCTCTCCCTGCGAGGGTGAGTGTTCTTGCTTTCCAAAACGAGAGTTTTTGGTCAATTTTGTCTAGGTCTAGGATATACCGGTAAGTGTTGCGATTCAATCTGCCATGTAAAACAGGCACACCTAGGTATCTACCTAGATCACAATTAGCCTGTATGCCCATCCTATTACTACGTTCCACATCCCTAGTATTCTTAGAGAAAAAGACTCTAGATTTCTCCTTACTAAGCATCTCTCCTGAAGCATCACAGAACTCATTCATGCAATTAAGGATCACTCCAACTTGTAAGGTACTAGCTTCTGAGAACAATACAAGATCATCGACGAAAAATAAATGAGAAAGAGCAGGACCCCCCTAGACAGTTTAATAGGTTTCCATCCTTTTTCATTAACTTTCCTAGTGATACTATGGCCAAGCCTTTCAATACAAAGCATAAAGAGATATGGTGAGAGAGTACATCCCTGTCTTAACCCTCTGCTAGGCTTGAAGGTCTCTGTTTCACCACCATTCCACAACACTTGCAGTTTTGTTGAGCCAACACACTGCATAATTGCTTGGATACATGCTTCAGAAAATCCAGCAAGTCTTAGAGTGTCTTACAGGAATTTCCAGTCTATTCTATCATACGCTTTAGCTAAATCGACTTTGAGAAGCATCAGCCCTTTCTTCCCTGTCTTCTTAGCCATGAAATGAACAGTTTCCTGCAAAATCAAGATATTATCAGTTATGTGTCTGTTGTGAACAAAATTGGACTGGTTAGCATAAATAAGTTGGGGCATTAGATTCTTAAGCCTGTTGGCTAGGATCTTTGCCACCACTTTATACCCAACAATACATAAACTAATGGGACGAAAATGGTTCATTGAGGTAGAAACTTCAATCTTCGGTATAAGGGTCAACAAGGTTTCATTAATGGCTTCAATGTTGCTGGGATTTCTGAAGCAGTTAGTGATGAAGAGGCAGAAATTCTCTTTAATCACTTCCCAACACTTTTGAAAAAAAAAGGCTTGGAAGCCATCCTTTCCAAGAGCCTTCAAGCCATTCATTCCCATCACTGTGGCTCTTATCTCCTCCATGTTGGGAACTCTGCTTATGTTATCATCAATGTGAGGGTCGATGGGAGGAAAGTCAGCAACAATTTCTGGTATATTCTGTCTTTCTGCTCTGGTATAAAGCTTGATGAAGTGGTCCCTGGCCATGGTATGTAGGTCTTCTGGATTTGTAACCCAGTTCCCCTCATCATCATCAGTGCAAGGATCTTGTTCCTCTTTCTTCTACTCATAGTGCTCTGATGGAAGAATCTTGTGTTTCTGTCTCCATGGAGAATCCAATTGGCCCGTGATTTTTGCATCCACAGCAGTTCCTCCTGCCAAAGGGCATTTTCAAGCTGCTCCCTAATAATCTGCTCCAAAGCTAGAGAGTTTCTGTTAGCAGCTCATTCATTCAGGATCTCCAGTCTTTGAAGCTTGTTGGTGAGCTTATTCTTTCTTTGAAAGATATTTCCAAAAACACTCTTATTCCATTCTTTCAGTTTCTTTGAGAGATCCTGCAAGGTAGAGGGAAGAGCATTATCTTTATGCAAAACAGAGGAGACAAAAGGAAATAATTCTTCATGAGCCAGCCATGGGGCAAGGAAATGAAAACGTCTCACCAATTTGTTCTTCTCTGGAAGGGTGGTGTTGCAGGTAAGAATCTGTATGTGGTCTAACTTGAGTTTCGTCAAATGGAAGACTGTGGACTGAGGGAACTGTTGGTTCCATTTCTGGTTACACAAGCTCCTATCGATTCTCTCTCTGATCTTCGACTTCTTAGTAAACCAAGTAAACTGAGGTCCCTTGAACGCGAGATAAAGAAGATGACACTCATCAATGAATTCGTTGAAAGCTCTAGCTTTAGCAAAGCTAAAGGGAGCTCCACCTTGTTTATCGATTGGTCTGATAATTGAGTTGAAGTCCCCTATCAAAAGCCTTGGTTCCTAGATTCTTCTTTCAATTCTTCTGAGTTGCCTCCACAATTCACCCCTTTTAAATTCATTAGGGCTAGCGTAGACAACATTAGTGAGTCCAACATCCTTACCATCAATCGAGCATCTGAGGTGGATGAATTGTTTATGCACATCAACCCTCTCCAAGTGCAATTGCTTGTTATCCCACATCACCCAGATCCCTCCACTGTAACCAATCGCATATGAAACTTCCCAAGAATTGAAGCCTAGATATTTGATAACCTCTATGGCATCCTTCCACTTATTCTTGGTTCCGTAATGCACAACACGTTAGGCGAATGAATACTCTTATAGTATTCCATAGTCGAATGAAACTTTGGGTGTTTCGCACCCCTAAAATTTCAGGCAAAGACTTTAATCATAAGATGGAATGAAAAGTCACCATGTTCGACCTCAGTAAGAGGAAAAATCAATGTTTATCGACGACCATTGCCGTCCCTTCAGACCTAGATTCAACATTGCTACTGGATACCTGGATATTGCTCGCATTTTTTTTTGGCTTGATCGACTTTGTCCCCAGTTTAGTGCCAAAATCAATCGTTCTTTGGAGACCAATCCCCACATATGAATTTTTCTTACTCTGTGTATGGGCTTCCCTGCTCCTGTCAGCCTCCCTAGGTGATCTCATTTAACCTGGCCAGAATATTAAAGAAACGACACGTAGTCGGGTACAAAGAAAGGGTCTTTATAGCCACCATATGGACTACCCTATTACTACTCTGACCTACAAATCGCACATTAAGCCTAATGTGAATAGCCAAAGAGAGTCCAACTTCCTCAAGGATGACTCTCATTCGATTATCTCGAGTATCAACCTGATTTAATTTATCAATGATCACTTTGACATCTCCTTCCAACCTCGTCACCGTAAACTTATTCTCCAGACACTAGAGAATAGTCTCCCTAGGAACGAGAATCTAGACTACCTTAGAATCATCAATATCAGCAAACTACACCCCTTTCCCCCAAGGACCATCCCCCCTTGGTGCATGGTAATCATTCCCCTACTGAGTGGAACCCACTCTTAATTGCCTCATCCCCCATGCAGATAACTGAATTAAGGTTCCCACCACTTAAGTAACTTGCTTGTGGGAAAGACGACCGCACCACACGGTCTACTAGAAAACTAATTCATTCCTGATATTGTTGGTGAAATTGTCGCATTAAAGCTGGGATTCCAAATTGTTTGCCCTCAATGACAACCCAGTTTCGTGACCTCCAAATCCTCTAAAGGATCGCGACAACCACCATGAATAGTTGAGGTTGATATATAAGCAGGGGCGGACCCACCTTTGACCAAGGTGTGTCACCCGACACACCTTAATATATAAGCATTCAAGGCAGGTCTTGGAGCTGCCATGGCCACCAGCTCCCCTTCCATTTCCCCACCAGAACTTTTCTATTGCCCTATACCTTGCTGATGACCCCGATTCCTCACTTGAAGCTCCTAGGATGCTTGATGTGAGCATAAATGGGGTGACATATTTCAAGAGATTGAGTGCGACACAAATGGGTGCTCTTGTCTTTGCCAAAATGTGGCCTCTCGGTGGTCTAACCAATATAACTTTGACGTCAGTTGCTGGTTCGACCACTGGTCCATTGATCAATGCAGGGGAGGTTTTCAGATGTTGCCCCTTGGTCAAAGAACTGATCATACGGGAGACAGTACGTAGTTATGAATTATGATGCATCGCTTGTTTACCTTATTCTATACAGTAGGTCCTGTAAGTCTGAGTGATGGCAATGATTGAAAAAAGTTTTTTTTTTTTTATGAATAAGGCAATTTATTCATCAAGAAAGGGGAGAAGTAAATCCCCCCCTAACTGGTAACCAAGTGCAAACCATTTACATCAGCAACAACACAGAAAATCAACAACAGAAACGAAAACCAGCAACAGAAACTACAACTATACTAAACTGTTTACATATCCCTCTGTAAGAGCTACTTCAATAGAGGGGAAGCCACTCCTTAACAGCAACAACATTCTCTGCAACCTGAGGACCAACTGGCCTACTGTCAGCATCTCATCAGCCATAACCCTTCTACACCTTTCTCGCCACAACTCAGCCACCACCATTACCCAAAGGAGCCTCCCACCATCAGAGGCAATGCTCTTTGCCTGAAACATAGACACAGCAATAGCCAATGATTCCTCCCAATTAGCCCCCACAAGAGCTCTGCCTGGGAAAACCACCTGCAGAAGTTGCTGTGAATATGAACACCCAAAAAAGAGATGCTCTCTTGACTCAGGCATGGAAGAACACAAAGGACAAATATTCCTTATTGAGCTTTTCCATTTCTGCACTTTATCAAGGGTTGAGATCCGGTTCAATATGACTAACCACACCAGCAGTTTATCTCTGGGAGTACCCAATGACTTCCAAACCAACTTATACCACTGAACCTTGTCATATTTAGGTCGAAGAGTTTCCCAGACTCTCTTAACTGAGAATCGAGGCATTAGACTATCATTCCAGTACACCCCTGCAGGTCGAACTCTAAGATGCTGAACTACCAGAGGCCTCAATTTTAGAACTTTCCTCCAGGCCCAGGAACATGGTAAGGAAGTAGAGATGTCCCAAATGGATGTATACTGGAGTTGGTAGTGTCTCACCCAATTAGCCCAGAGAGAGGATGAATTTGAGGAAATTGCCCATAGATGTCTAACTAAACATGCCATATTCCAGCTACGTAGGTCTTTGAAACCTAAGCCCCCCTCCTTCTGTGGTCTAGCAACCACCTGCCAGAGAACTTTTGCCCTTTTCCCTGCATCCTCTGCACTCCATAGAAAATCAGAACAGATTTTTTCAACCATTTTTAAAACCTTAACTGGAAGGTGTATAATCCCCATCCAGTATTGAGTGATACTGGAGATTACAGAAGAGATGAGCTGTAGTTTGCCAGCATATGACAGTGTCTTCACCTTCCATCCCCTTACCCTTGCAGTGATCTTTTCAACCAAGGCCAGGCAATCTTCACTATTCAACTTCCCAGCAACAAGTGGTATACCCAAATATCTAACAGGCAAATGGCCAATAACAAATCCTGAACTAGATGAAATGAGATCCTGAACATTAGACTCCACTCCTCCACAGAAAACCTCACTTTTTGCAGGATTGCATTTCAAACCAGAAACTAGATAAAATGCATCCAGTATAGCCTTTGCTCTCCCCACAGCCTCAGGGGTTCCTTTGGTGAAGACCAGAAGGTCATCAGCAAAACATAGGTGAGAAAGACCAATCCTATGGGTTTGAGGGTGGGGGGGAAGGGTTTTAATGGCATAGGCTTTGTTCAACATGCAAGAGAGTACCTCCATGGCTATTGTAAAGAGGTAAGGGGAAAGGGGATCCCCTTGCCTCAACCCCTTCTTTGCAGAAAAATAACCACATAAACTTCCATTAAAACAGACACTGAGGTTAGTACTTTTGAGGCAGGTTGTAATCCAACTAATGAATTGAGCAGGAATTCTCATTGCTGCCATGACAGTTTCAAGATAGGTCCAATCTACACTGTCGAAGGCCTTCATCACATCCACTTTCAAAGCACACCTAGGGGAAACAGATTTTCTACTATATAACCTCACCATCTCATGTGCTAAAAGTATATTATCACTGATTAATCTACCTTTAATAAAGGCAGATTGATTCTGGCTTATGATTAGGGGGAGGACTTCTCTCAATCTATTGGCCAACACCTTGGCAATACACTTATACAGTATATTGCAACAAGAGATAGGCCTAAACTGCTTCATACAATCTGCATTCAGAACTTTAGGGATTAGAGCTAGATAGGTGGAGTTTACCTCTGAAAGGAGTCTTCCTGTCTTGAAGAAATCCAGAACTGCAGTAGTCAAATCAGCCCCCAAAATTTCCCAATTGACCTGATAAAACCCTGCAGTGAAGCCATCTGGCCCAGGAGACTTATCACCCTTCATTGAAAATAAAGCTGCCTTTACCTCCTCATGAGAAACAGGAAGGCAGAGAGGATCAGCCTGAGCAGGAGTAAGAGTGTGAACTAGCAGCTGAGAGATCAGAGCACTGTCTACCCTCTGTACTTCAGTATTCTTAGTCCCCAGTAGATGCTGGTAAAACTTTACTGCCTCTGAACTCATTTCCTTAACATCAGTTAGTATAACCCCTTCCTCAGTCTTTATCTGCTTTATGGTAGAGCGAGCTTGGCGGATTTTCACATAGGTGTGAAAGAAAGATGTGTTCAGGTCACCTGTTTTTACCCAGAGGAGGCGAGATTTCTGCCTATAAAATTCTTCTTCTTCTTTGAGGAGCCTGTATAACAGGCTTTGACTCTCAGTAACTCGATTGAAAGACTCTGGGGAAGGCTGGTGGAGAGCTTCCATCTGCAAATATGCAACCTCCTTTCTAGCACTCTTCACTCTTTCTGAAATTTCTGAGTAAGAAGACCTATTCAATTTCTTCAACTGCCTCTTAACCTCCCTTAGCCTCTGACACATGACAAACATGGCAGTCCCCTTAAACGTTTTACTCCAAGCTTCTTTAACAATCTGTTTGTAGTTAGGGTGATTCTCCCAGCAACTAAAATACTTAAAGGGTTTTGGCAAAGAAGAGAGATGGATGTCTGTGTTCATCAGTAAACCACAGTGATCAGAAAGCTGAGGGGGAAGCAAAGTAACTGCATAATGAGGAAACGTATTTACCCAACTAGAATTTACTAGGACTCTATCAATTCTTCTAGCTATTGGATTCCCCTCCTGCTTGTTAGTCCATGAGAACCAGGGACCATCAAAAGAGCAGTCTTCTAATTCCATATTTCCAATCCATTCATCAAAGTCAACCATGCTTTGAGATCTTACTGGGTTATTTGAAGCTTCAGCAGGACTTCTAACAGCATTGAAATCACCAAGTACCAGCCAAGGCAAACTCTCAGGCTGAAGGATAGAATGATGATACAGATCCCTCCTTTTACCCTCATCATTGGCTCCATAAACAAACGTGATCTTAGCAATTGTGACACCTTTAACCAAACCATGAATAAACTGCTCAGATCTCTCTAGCACAGTAAAATCCAACTCCTTCTTCCAGAAAACCCACAGACGACCTAATGCAGAATGCTCATAGTTATGGGCATAACCCCACCGATCAAACTTAGAACCAACTATGTCTTTAGATTTTTCTTCCTTTACCCTTGTTTCAATGACACAAAAAACATCAATATTTTCTCTACTAACAGTGGCTAGAATCTGACCTTGCTTGGCAGGGTGATTAAAACCCCTGATATTCCACGCAAGTACCTTCATTTCTTTGACTTAGGTTTTGCAGGCCTCCCTGGACCTTTTTTACCCTGCTTTCCTTTCACCAGACCACCCCCTTCCAGAACAGGGAACTCAGACAACTGGAGAGGAACAGGACTACTCACCATGATCTCCCCAACCTCAAACGTTTCAACTGCTAAATGTTCAAATCTATTTGTCACAGGGGTGACAGGACCCTCCCTTGCCTTGATGGAACTAGTACACGCCACCATAGCTGTTTGGAGTTCCTGTTCAGTTGGCAGCACCTCATCACCTTGCCAGCCAGTCAAAACACCCTGCTCTATAGACTTGACCAGATTCGCAACAGCCAGGTTCAGGTTTCTACAAGCAGCTTCTGCAGACATCTGAGCTTTACCCTTTGAGGCAATAGCATCCAACTCTTCCAGCACCTTATCCTGAGAAGTTTGAATAGAATCCTGATCCAAACTCCCAGTAACAGGCTCCACTCCCTCCTGACCAGCTACTTCCATCATTTCCACAACTTCTGAACTCTCACACTGATGACCAAAAACCCTGCACTTCTTGCACCCCACTGGCTTATTACAGTATTCCAACCGCACCTCAAATGCCGGCTTCCTATCAGGGACAAGTTTCAGAGCCTCTGGGAACACTGAATCAATAGACATTTCCACACAAACCTTAGGAAAACCCATTCTCCGACCCAGCCTAGTCGATTGATCAAACCACAGGGGACGACCTAACATGCTAGCCAGTCGAGTCAGAATTCTGCCAGTAACATACTCCACGGGAAGATCTTGAAAGCATATCCAGATGGGGATCGTGGAATCACAATTCACCGCTCTGATGCCCGCTGACCATTGCCGGAGAAAACACATATCATTGTTAAAATGCCAAGGTCCACTGGTAAACACCCAATCCGCAGCTTTCTCATTCGGGAATTGGAAGAGGAAGAGCTGCTCACTGAATCGCGAAACCCTAACCAATCCCGATTTTCCCCAAAGCCGATTCGCCCAACTCTGAAGTTGCCTCACAGAGGGAGAAGAATGGAGAAACTGACCTACAAGGCTGTTCTTCCACCGCGCCTCCCCTTCCTGAATAAGCTCCTCTGGAATCCTCAACCCGCCATCTACGATCTCCGGCTCGATATAGACCAGCCGATTTGCTTCCGCAATGCCGAACAAATCAGCCCACGATTTCTCAATGGAAGACATCACCAATCCGAGAGAAGAAGAGAGGAGTCTGAGGATCTCGAAGGCAAGAAAAAGATGAACGCCGGAGCCAAGCAGCCGCCGACGCCGACGATTGATCGGAAATCGCGCAACGGCTTAGAGAGAGAATTGCTTAGAGAGAGAATTGCTGCCGATTTCTGATTCCACCTTTGTTTTTTTTTTTTTTTTGGTATTCATTTTTGTTTCAGTAATAGCTATTGAACAATTGAGAAGCGGTTTCAAGAACCCGCCAGTATCCTTGGACTGGAATTACTTGCTCAGAAGGCTGCAGAATTCGTGTGGTTACATTGTGAGTTTGGGAATTGATGAACGTTGGTTTTCGCCGTCGTGTTATTGTTTATGTTTCTAAACAATTGGATATTCTCGATTTTCAGGGATTAGGCGAGTATAGGCCTTGCTGGGTCGATATCACATGGGATCACTAGGTTGACTGCACTAACAAACATGTAAGTTGCTCAACTAACATCAGTACATTGAACTGTTCATGAGATTTGTTTGCTTACTGTAATGCTTTGTACGTCCTTGTGCAGATGGCTAACAATAATATATCAGGGCTCGCTAAGACTGCTTGAAACACTGTTAAGACCGCAAATCCTTGTCGTTCTAGGGGAATTCTTCCCTGTCATTGTTATCTGATATCCGAATTCCCGGACTAACTTCTTCTCTGCTTTAACAGGCATTTGGAAGACAGTAGAGTGACGGGACAGTCTCCGCCAACTGTAAGACCCCGTAGTCCTTTCTGCTCAGTGAAAATGGTTTTGCACGTGTCTTTTTCTAGTTTCAGCTGGAACCCTTTTTATTCTTCTGGTTTGATGATAATGTCTTTCCCTTTCTGTTACTTGTCATCGCACATGTCCTGTCCTGTAGTGTAAATAAATAGTGTCGTCCTTTCTTGATGCCTTGGTCTCCTCTCCTGGCAGACAAAACCAGATTCCTCATGGTAGCAATGCTGTGATAAAAACCCTCCAAACAAATCTAGTGCCCTTTTGGAATCTTGTAGTATTGTTTTTGCTCTCTTCTCTCTCTCCGTGCAAGTGTTCAGTGCATTCATTCATAGTGTATGGAGATGACCTGCTGGATCTCAATATTGTTGAATCAATAGTGTGACTGATGTCGTCGTTTTCCCCATCTCTCTCTTGTCTCTCAGATTTGTACAGAACAATAACCTCACTTCGTTGGGAAACCTGGACTGGAGCTCAGGTAAACAAACGTGTTGCCCTTTTCACAGGTCATATCAATTTGAAAGATGAACTTGCTTAGATTTGGTAAGCTGAGCTATTTAAGGGTAATTGGTGGTGGGGAAGCTCAAATGATCATATATATATATATATATATATATGTCGTATACAGGATGAATCCTGGGAACGATTTCCTGTCGCGGCCATGAGCAGAAACAGGAAGCAGATGATTAGAAGACAACTATTATTGCATTTGCCTCTAGACTGCCCTGGAAGCTGGATTTCCAGCTATATATGTTGTCAAGGTGCTGTTTGTACCAGTACTAGTACTAGCAGATGGTGATGATTCAAGGACGTGAAAAAATTTGCACATGGTTCCAAAGGTTCTCGGGGTGTACGTACCTTTTGGCAGTGTCGGCCACCCTCACTTACCCTGCTTTTTGTCCATATATATACCAAGTGAGAGTAACTCTGATTCTTAACTCTTTTCTTCTATACTCTAGTCAAGTGTACCTTTAACCTGGTGTGAACTGTGAAACTGCTTAGACACGACGGTCATTCTTTGGTCTTTTGAACTTGCACTTGTGATTGAAAGAAAGTTGATAAGATCGTGAAAGAAGTTGTAACATAGTCCTCTTGTTGGTTTGAATTTGACATTGGCTATGGGGCTGATCCTCTCTCCCCTTCTCTTTGTCATTGCCATAGACTGGCTTTCTTGTATGCTCGATAAGGCGGCTTGGCTTAAAGATTGCACTGTTAGAAGTTAGGAATACCTAACTGTAATTAACCCGTCTAGGCTTAAGGGCTCGACTAAGTATATATATGTTGTATAGCCGAGTTTAGCTGTAACGATTACGTACGTAATAAATTATGAACTCTGCCTTGTGCCGTGGACTAGTCTCAACGTTCATTGTTGAGGAAACCACGTAAATCTTGTGTCTCGTGTTCTTGTGATTCTGTGTTTGATCAGGTTTTGACATGGTATCAGAGCCTCGCGTTATTCTAGTCTGAGCTCCTGTTCGTGTTCGTGTTTGGGTTGCTGCCTGCGCTCTCTCTTCGTGCCCTAGTCCTCGTGCCGCTGCGGATTCTCAGCTTTCTTCCCATTCCCTTGTTCTTGTGCGGCTGTATATAATGAATTTGAAAAAAAAAAGGAAAGATATATAAAATCATATAATGAATTTGTTCTTTAATTTTCTATCAAAATCTTTGATCGAGAGGTTTCACGGTCGAATTTTTATGACGACTCACAATATAAACAATGATTTAGTATAAAGATATATTTAACTTGTACAAACTGAAAGGTCACAAGTAGCTGCGGTTAGAGTGTGTAAAAGAAAAGGAATCACAAATAGATGCGGTCACAAGTATAATGAAATCGTTTCCAACAACTCGAATCATTGGAACTAAATGCTTTATTGATTCACAAGTGACCTGTGGCACTCAGACTTGCAAGTTGCAACCACCTCTCTGTCTTTCAAAAGCTCTAAAAAGAATCAAATCCATGAAATCTTCAAATTGCTGTGAACATTAGCTGCGCTGTAATATTCAATAGCGCCAAGGAGGAGGTTTCCCACATTTACATGTGGCCTTCCTGATTCTCAGGCAGAACCAGCCCAGCAGGGGGCCAACTGTAATTTTCCATGTAACTTCACTTTCCGCTTCTCCCCACTCCAATCCATTCTTATTTAATTTTGTACTACTCAGTACTCACTCACCTTCCTCTGTCCTCCTGCTTTTAAACACAAAAAAGTACCGTTACCAATTTCCTTCACTCTCTCTGTCAAATGAATTTTGATTATGAGACCGAAAAAAAAAAACATCCGAATATGTGATCGATTCTAATGTTCTTTTTCCAATTTCCTAAGGAATTGACAAATGATTGATTCGACACAAAACACAATCCAATACTTGAAAGTAAAATGTCAGCAAATTTACATTTTATATATAATCCCACAATCAGATCCACATCAATTGACCTTAACTCTATAGCTTCAACCATCACAAATACATAAAATTGACAACAACAAAAAAAAAAGGGATCATTAAGAGAAGAAAAAATAAAAATTACTGGAAAAATTCCAAAATCCTACCATAACACACCCTCCTCCATACACAGATTGTTTTATTCACCGCTCCACTACTCTGACTTTCTTGAGCGGGAAGAATGGCGGCAATGCGCTGCTGCTCTTCCTCTGGCTGCAAATCGGGACATTAATCATCGGCCTAATCCGAATGCTCGCCGATCTCGTCCTCTCCAATCCTCTCTTCGCCGCCCTCTTCACCTGATTTGTGTTATTACTGCTCTTGCTTTCTAATTTCTCCCCCTTCTTCTTCTTCTCCTTCTTCTCCTCCGCCGCGACGGCGGCGTCGGCGAGCGAGCTGGAAGACGAGGAATTGGAGGACGAAGACGAAGAAGGCGAGAGCGACGCCGCCGCCCTCTGCTTCTTCTTCAGCCTCAGCAGCTCCTTCCACAGTACCGTGCAATTCGGCGGCCGCGGCGACGGATCGTCGTCCACGAACCAGTTCACCGCCGCCGCCCTCGTCCCCGTCGGCGCATTTTCTTCTTTGCTCGCCGGATTCGCCGCCTCTCCGGCGTCGTCGCAATTGAGGCTGATTTTGTGGAGCCGCTCCGACTGCTGCTGCATTTGCCAGAACGGAAGGAGCTTCCCTTCGAAGAAGAGCTCGTCGGCGGTCAGCATCTTGGCGTGCCCCGCCGGCGCCGCCGGCCCGGTGTTGGAGAGGAACTCGAATTGGAGATCCGCAGCGGTTCGAATCGGCGATGGGGATAGGGGAGGTTTCTGGTTTTCGATTTCGCGGGGGCGGTGGTTGGGGCTGATGGAGATGAAGTTGTTCTCGTCGAGGAATTCGGAGGAGAATGAGATTCTAGGGCTTGATGTCGGTTGATCCATGGTGGTGGATTTATTGACTGCTGGTTGAACTGTTTCTAGAGAAACCATTTCAGTTTTGTTTTTGTTTTCGTGAGAAATAATTTGATGGAGGAAGAAGAAGGGAGGGAGGAAGGAAGGGGAACTGAGAAGTGGGGTTTGGTGGTGCATGGGAGTTTGGGAGTATATATAAAGCAAATAGAGTGGAATTTTTCTTTATAAATGAATGAGGAGAGTGAGAGAGTGGCTCATAATATTTTATGATACTGATAATAATATCTATGGCAAAAAAAAAAAAAAAAAAAAAAAAAAACAATGTAGATCAAGGGATTAATGGCTTTCTAGTACCCATATTAGCCTGGTTTTGCACATAATTCCTTTATTTCATGTTTGTTGGCAGTAAGATTTGGTCTTAGGGTGTGTGATGAAACCATACTAACTTTATCACTATGTAGTATGTAGGCAAACCATTGATTATTAATTCTTAATTTGTAGTGGTGGAGCTATGTCATATACGACATGGTTCAAACTTCCATATTAAAATTAATATACGTGTAAAACTTCTTACCAATTCGTAAAACAGGAGACGCTTGCCCCCTACTAGTCTATCACGATTCAAATATTTCGAGCTTCCCTCATAATTTGGCTTTGTCATTGTTAATTTGCATCTAGTCCTATGAATACAATTAAGTAACAAGGCAGCTTACCTATTCCTTATTAACACGCCCCCTGCTAACTTGCACGTCATGTATATTATACATTAGCATTTTGGCCCGCTGTTGGGCACAAAATTCAAAATTTCCAGATAATGGAGCATTGTTACTTGCTAGGGCAAAATATTTTTGTGAATCAAACTTGCTAGTGCTGGAGCTTCCAGTTGTTTTCGACGAAATGTACAATCTGTGAACAATAAACAACCTCGTAGTAGGACTAAAAATGAAAATAACCCTAAAGAAAACGTTTTGATCCTCAATTTCTCTCTTTTAGTTAATCTCCCAAGTTGGGGTTAATGTGTGTGATTAAGGAAGGGTGTGGGGAGGGCGGTGAGATTAAAGAAAAGTAGGTGGTCTGGAGATGCCCAAACAAGCGAGCTAATCAAAGTGGTGTTTATGGGGAACATCACATGGTGATACTTTGGGAGCTACTTAACCGGCCAGCCACCGCTCTCTATCGTATGATTTAATGATTATCTAGCTAGCTAGCGTTAATCTATCCTCTATACTATATATAAAACATATTCATGGGTTGAATTTTTTTTTATTTCAAATTTCAAACAATCGGAGTGAAAATAAGAAAGATATTTTTGTCTTCACAATTAGTTATTTATTTTGTATGAAAATATATCAACACCAAGATTTGAACCATGCTCTTTTTAAACAAATA